CACATGTGTCAGCAAGTGTTGGGTATGAATGAAATGTGTCCACACATAGCCCACAATGTTTACTTGCACTGTTTTCTCTGCATGTGCGTGTGTGTGTGTGTGTGTGTGTGTGAGAATTTGTACATCTAGTGCAAGCCTGTGTGTGATAGTAATCCGGACTGGGCAGCTGCGCTCATTCGTATTCAGCCCGAGGCACTTCTAGGCCGTCTCGCTGATTAAGGATCAGAGAGAGAGAGAGAGAAATATTACTGAGTGAGGAGAGTGAGAGACAAAGCAAGGAAGAGAGGTCCTTTCCCATTTAGTAAACAGTTGGTTAATGACTCTAATCCCATTAAGCATGGGGAGCAGCTTGCCCCCTCACATTACATGCATTAATATGTATGTATAAGTGTATGGTTGTGGTTTACATTCTCTTTTCCTCTCTCTCACACAAACGCTCTATACAATATACCCTGGAAATTGATTTGCCCTCATAAACATTTGATAAAGTCCTAATGTAGCATTGTGAGCTGTTAAGGAGGCTTGGAGAGCTGACTTTTGAAAATGACATGTAAATCAAATGAGCATTGTATATTTTCAGGCACAATTTGCCTGCAATTATTGTTTTGACCTGGCTCCTCAGTTGACAAAAGAAACCAGCTCCCTCTGAGGAGCAGGAAATCAGCTTTTCAAGTGCTCTTGTGTTGAAGAGTGGAGGGCAGGGCAAGGCAAGGCGTGATTGCCGCACTCTGCGGAAAGGATCAGACATGGGGTGATTTCATACAAGCAGAGAGAAAGCAGCATAGGCACTTATCTCAGTGTTTACTCTACTAACTTGTTGTGGATATGTCAAGAAAAATAATGATTCTCTTTCATGTATTAAATATTTGATTAAAAAAACAATTCAACATTCCATCTTGTTGGCCTCCTTCAACATAAAGCTTGTGTGTGTTGTCTCATTCATGTAATGTCTAGGTGGCAAAATAAACAAGTGCCTGGTGCAGGAGTTGTTAACCCATCAGTAAATGAATCCATCAGAGTGAGCACATGAATATGCATGGGAATATAATAGCGCCAATATGCAGGGAAAACATTTGAGGTAGATGCTTATCATCTGCAATACACACATGGAGTTATTTATATGGACAATTGCTGTTAAAGTGTTGCTCATATTAGCATAAGGGGGGAAAAAGGGAAAGCTTTCTGGGGACCAGCCGCTAGGTGCTCCTGCACTAATTAATGATGTACATACAAAATATAATTAAAGATAACCAAATTTTATTTTAAAGCAAATACTCACCATTAATCATTAAAATAAGAAAAGAAAATTGCATTTTATGTAATGTTTTATTTAATGTTGCTTTAGTAAAATGTAGCCTGTTTCATACTAAAAATCCTCTCTCCTTAACAATAGTATGGTATGGAGTAATGTTTGTTGTACACTATGTCAAAACATCAAAAGTGCACCGCCTGTGGCAGGCCATGTATGTGTTTATGTAGGAGATAGAGAGAGAGAGCACAGCATGCATTGACATGAGTAAAGCAGATTTGCAGAGAGTCCATTTACTGGACCTTTTCAGGGGCCCAGTCATTTCTGTGGGTGGGCCTGCATATTAGTCAACTGAAGATCCGTTTCACAATATCATCTTTAGCAGAAGAAAAGAAGTGAACAATAAAGTGGTCCACAGGTGGAGAGCGTGTTTCAAAAATTCTGCTAGTATTATTTTGTTGAAACAGGAACTCTTATTCTCTTATTCTAATATTCTTTCAAGGGGTGTGGATTTCATAGCCAAGCTGCAGCCATATTCTAGGGAAAAAAGCATCAGGAAAGGGTATTTTCTCTCTCATTGTGATTCATTTTGCACTCTGTAATAATTTGCTTGTTAAGCTGATACAGTATGTGTCCTGGGACAGTGGATGGGCAATGCTGAGCAATTCTCAAAGAGATCAGAGAGAAGGAAGCAATATATAGCACTATTCTGTATTTATAATATAATCTGGCTGTTAAAAACTATGTGCTCCTCAAGAAACATTATAATAATACATATCATGCATAGTTTGATATGCTTGAACATTACTTACAAAAAAGCGTTGTTAACTTTACCTCCTTCATATAAATAAATACACTTCTTGACTTTAATAGCATCCTCAAATGCCCAGATTCCCTCCTAAGTCACTGTTGTTGTTCTGTGAACTGCTGAGTTTCAAAACATTTCACACTCTGGGAGGAAAATTTGTGGATGCCACCAGACTTTGTGTTTCTATTGCCAATTAAAGCAATGTTATGTGGTCACATAAAGTAATTGATACACACAATTTTAACATGTAAAAAAACACCCCTCCAATGGACTTGCAAGTCTGCGTTTAATAAGTTAACATTACTAAAGGCCTTTGAACTGATTGCATTCCAATAAGCTAATAAAGAAGGCAACTTTCTGTCATTTTAACAGCTAGCTATAGAGGCAAATTCAATTATCGTGAAGAAATGTATCCCCTGCCACTTATAACTTTCTAAATGATAAGCTAAGAATACACAATACACAGCCTCTGTACAAACTGTTATATCATGGTCCTTCCCATTACTTAACACTAGTAACCCACTGAACATACAGTTAGATAATATCACTAGCTAGCTAGCTAGACAGTTCTTGTCTCATTTATGGTCTAATAAAAAGTGAATTTATCAAATTCAGTGCTCCATATTGCTATTTTCCAAGCTACTGTAGCTAATGTGCAGAGGGAGCCTTTTTTACATCTATGGTGAGCATATATCATTATTTATATAAGATCTAACATTATATCAACATTATGTTAGATTTGGTGTGATTTGGAGCTCTTAGATTTTGCAGAGTGTAATTCATTGCTCTTAAAAACTAGGAAGTCCCCAACTTGATCAAGCAAGTGCGACAAAACCAAGACTTAGCAATGTTACTTAGTAGTCCAACATAAAGAAGGCCAGCTTGGCATCTGTCTTGCTTCCTTTCAGCTCTTTAAGCTCACGTCAACGAGTAAAAGCCAGTCTGGTCTCTTGCTTGGCCACTCTCGTCTTTTCTCTCCCTCACTTCCTCCACCAAAGTAGTTTTCAGTCTCTTTGCAGCCTCTGCCAGGATATATGGAGAATCTGAGCTAGCTTCTTCCAAAGAACTTACATTGTACATTTAATACTTCAATCAGAATTAGAAGCAGAATCAGAATCAGAAGGAGCTTTATTGCCAAGTAGTGTTTTACACATACAAGGAATATGCTTTGGTGTTAAGGTGCTACATGCAGACAAACATACAGCTGACATAAATAAATGTAGAAATATAAAAATATGTAATGAACAAATGCAAGTTATATAAGGATAACAGAATAATAGAGAAAAATAATCCAACTGACAATATAAAAAAATTTAAAAAATAACAATTAACAACAAATATGTGTCAGTGGGGGGCCTGGGCCTTGTTGATGAGTCTAGCTGCAGACTGGTAGAAGCTGTTTTTGTGGCGAGAGGTTTTGGTCCTGATGGACCGCAGCCTCTTGCCAGAGGGGAGAGTCTGAAACAGTTTGTGACTGGGATGGGAGGGGTCAAGTCAGTGTACCATCAAAATGATTATGAAGCTGTTATTTTAAGATACAATTACTACATTATGTCGCTTTAAGATTTATATATTACAGGTTATATAATACAGGATTCGCAAGTTTAGGACAGTGGTTTAAACTTGTGAATCCAATTTGAACTATGAAAGTGTATTATGGTACCATGCTTAAATTATGGGGTTAAACTGTCTTTAGGATTTTGGATGTGACTCATAACAACACAAGAAGCATAAACAGAAGATACTTTGAGAAAATTCATAGTCCCCGTGATAGTGAATAAAATTAGTTGGTCTAAAAAGGTCCTTCTTTTCTAACCTGTGCTTCACACAATCAAGAAAGATCTCACACATTATGGAAATACTTCCTCAAACCCTTGCATAAAGTCAGTTTTAATTTCACATCTGAAAATGGGCACTGACACACACCTAACACACCACTTACTTCATGGGAATATGATGGGATTCAGTTACAGTGGGAACCAGATGAATCTGCCGAGCTCATGTTTCATTTGGCCTGCGCCCATTGACAAGGCCCCTAGAAAAATCGAAAATGAAATGAGAAGTTCCAGACTAATTCACATTTGCGAATTAATCTGGCAATGCCAGGCTACGATTCTATGTTAACTTTCCAATATTAAGGCTTAAGTTTTGCAATGTAAGATTACACGAATATTCATTGATCGGAACACACCCATCTTCGAACTGGGCCTTCATTCTCAACTGCACCTGAAAAGGGAGTAGAACTCGTTATTGTAGTGGAATCATTGTAGTGGATCATGTCCACAAAACACTGTGTGTAATATCCAGTTATATCCAATCATTTTCACAAATGTCCACTCCAGCCACAGGAAGTGAAGATGCATGCTTCATCAGAAGAAATGTCTAACCATTTTCTGTTGCCTATCCAAGTGTCAAAATGGTAGGGCTCTGGAACTTACAAAAACATAATGGGTTGCAGCCACTATTAAGGTTTATTAATTTAATATGTATGCCTTAAAAATCCTCAGCTCTGCTCCATTGAATATAGTTTATTTCTGTCTACCATCTTATTATTGCATTTGTATTAATGTATATTATCTGCTTAGCAGAAGGGAGTTAACTTACTTTCACTTTACAACCTGTTGTAATGTGGCAAATAGGCTAAACCTACCTTGACTGGTATATGGTAATGTATATGGAGAATTCAAAAAGTCACAGCGGCTGTGTGTGTGTGTGTGTATATACAAAAGTTTGGAAATCATTTCTCTTCACACACTGACACACACATCAGCAAAGAGTAGTCTATAAGGGCAATCAAGCAACTTTATTTTTTCTGTTTACAGTATGTCAGAGAGAGATGATTGACTCATAATTTGACCAATCGTGTCTTGGCGTCGAATGAGCGTTTGTCCAATCATAGGAGAGAAAGATAGTTGCCTCGCCCCCAAACTGAATGTTGAAAAAGAACGTCATTTGCTTCATACATTTAGCTTTAGCCAAAATTAGCCAGCTGTTGAAATCATAGAGATATCTTGCCGAAACGAGTGTTTTTCTTTTCAACTAACAGCCTACCTAACCGTTATTGATTTGGTGCTCCCTGGTTTACAGTGCCAAACATGTATATAAAAGCTTTATTCCGATGCAGAGACATGCTGAAAGGAGAACTGGTCGTGTGAAATGCTGGCTAGCCTAATCAAAGCTAGCTGACGGGCCGAGAAACGAAAGTGGCTAACATTAACGAGAGATAAGCTTATCGCAACAAGCCGGGGTACTTTAACCTATCTGCCACTGAAGCCACAAGAAGAAGCAGTGACAGAGATAGTTCATTACCTACAAAGTAAGTAACGTCTGGTACTTCGAATAAGCAACGTTTTTAATAACATTTCGCATACTAACATTGGCTAGTCACCCGCTAACGTGTAGACATCACTTTGACAACTGTGAACTTCGCTAGCTGGATAGCTAGCAGCATTTTCAGTTAGAGACAACTGACTATAGCTTTTGTTATTAGAGATGAAAACCATTTTGGAAAATATATTTGTATTTATCTTGATGGTGGTGATTATGAAATTATCGGAAGTGCTGATGTTGCGCCAGGTTAGTTATTGACGTTACTTGTTTTTACCTTGTATTTTTCTGGACAATTTGCCAGTTTAACGTTTCATTTAATGTTACATCAATCTGCTAGTCTACAATTGATGGAATTAAGTGGTGTAAATAGTGATTGGCATATCAACCTTTGCTTATGCGCAATATTTGGTCAATAATGTTTTGTTGTGATAACATATTTGCAGCCCTCACATTGTAACTGATTACGTGCTTGTTTTCATTTTATATTGCTCTAGGTAAATAATTACGTTATGTGCCAATAAAGGTGCGTATGAAGTGCGACTCACTTGATGAGCTGGTTTAAGATACTGTAGTGTTTTTCTGGTGGGTGCTTGAAATACTGTTTTACCCTAAAGGGCCAAGAGAACATTATTTTTGATCTTATAAGCCTGTAGTGTAATTATGAGTTATTCATGTTTTTTATTCCCAACCATTAGCTGTGAGCGACCAGTACAAGTATTAACTTGTTTTGGTAGTTTTATTGGATTGTTGCTGTGCATGTGGTTGTGTTTAGCAGTGTGATTGTGTGACAGGGAGTTCCAGAAATGGCAGCATCATCAGTGGCATGTTTGTGTTGGCACCTTGATGTGAAATCCTGCACTAGCCATGCTGGTTTAGCCAATAACCACTGCAACTCTATTGGCCCGTCCAAAGGCATTTATCTACAATCATTTATTGTGTCTTTTGTTTGAGTCACTTCACACGCAGATATACGCTCGGATACTGTACAGTGTCAACTGACAAGCTCGGAATAACACAAAGATAAATTTGTCAAGTGACAAGAGGGGACAAGGGATGAACTTGTGAGCCTAATGTGTCTGAACTAGGGCTGCAACTAACGACTATTTTGATAGTCGATTAATCTATCGATTATTGAAACGAATAATCGACTATTTGGATTATGAATGGCAAAACGACACAATGCCTCTCATTTAGCTATTAGCCTTTAAATTAAACCTGAGGTTGTTTTAGGCATGTGCTAATTAACAGTCAAGACAATAAAATAAATACTGCATTCAAAAATGCATCTTTTAATGAACGCTTCTGCTGCAGCAACAGAAATTTCCACTGAAATCACGTTCCTGATAAGCAGCTAATCTACTGTTTAGTGACGGAGCAGCTTTCGCCAGTACTGACCCTGTATACAAAGAAAGGAATAACTTCATGCATTACATTTGCCGAATTTACAAGAGGGGATCAACGATTTTGTTGTAGACAGTGTTTCACAACATTTATATAGTTTCCCCTAACTCAACAACTCACAAAACTCCGTGATTTATTATTTTTTTTAAGGGAGTTTGGGGCGGATTACCCGCCGCCTCATGCACAGACAGGAGAACTGTTTTCTCTTTTTTAGAAAGTATGAAATTGTCCGGTGTTGTCTAATCTTGTGCACTCTGCAGCAACACGTTCTCCAGCTGGGAACGTCGCCATGAGTGATGCATCGTTTATGATTGTAAAGTCAGGGCACATCTAGAATGTGAACGCGGCCGTTGTGTATCATAATTATGTGCTACTCTCAGCGCCATTACTGTAACAATCAATCAAATTGACGAACTATATAGAAAACGTTTCAGCTCATAACGTGAAGTAACATGGCTTTAACATGAAGCTAGCTCGCTAACGAGCTTACCGAGACGAGTCTTCATCATCCACAGAGACACAACGTTATGCGCCTCCTTTTCAGATGCTCATTTGTGATGAGGTAAAGCAAAACATCTGGAATGTTTGCTGGATTTTAGAATCCGGACTACTTAAAACCTGTCAAATACAGCATTTGTGGCTACAACTCAAGCAGGTTCACTGAAGTATCTGGACACATTGTACTGTCTATAGTGATATGGAAACACATTACACCTTTTCACCACATCTCACTGTTTCTCAGTGTTTGAGGTCTGGGAGTCAAATTGAAGGCATGCCAAGTTTCTGGATAGATAGCAGGTATGTACATGTACATATGCTGTTCTTGTTGCAGAGAACCCATTCACAGTCCAGTATAACATGTTTACTTCCACCTCTTTGGGTATGGTCAGATAGACTCACTTTAGGGCTGGGCGATATGGTCTAAAAATAAAATCTCTGATTTTATTTTTTTTAATTCAATTTACGATTTTTTCCGATTTCCCCCCCTACTTAAGGAAAGCAATAAGGTTTGTTGGTCAGTGCGGCTTTGTTCATCGCGGAGAGACTGGCATTTTTCATATTCGGCTGGATGTCTCTGTTTCAGGTGTTGGAATAGGTTTGTGGTGCTGCTGCCTTTCACTGCGATAGGCTTTAGGCAAATGTTGCAGCGTGGTGTCTGTTGTTCCACATCTGTCGCAGCAAACCCATACCAGTTCCAAACAACAGATGACTTTATTCCTTTCTTGGGAACAAACTTCCCGCTCTCACCGGTAGCCATTTTGTCGCTTGCTGTTGCTGTTTAGTGTATGATGTTGTCGCTATGGGAAACGAACACTACGGAAACCCCGGGGAGCCAAAAATGTGCTATTACACAAAAACTCGATTTACTTATTTTTTAAATCGCCCGCAACAAAAAATTCGAATTAATTCATTCAATCGATTTTTCGCCCAGGCCTAACTCACTTCAGTCTGGTCAAGTAACGGCCCCAGCTTGCCTGACGCCACTGCACTGAGGATGACTGAAGCTGTCTGTTCAAAGAGCACTTGTTCTGGGAAATTGACTGCTTCTGATGCGACTTCAGTGATGAGTCATCAAAGAGGGGGATCTGCGACATCCCTGGCCTGTTTGTTCCACCTCCTCTAATATGTATAAATATTCAGGGCTACAACTGATTCCATTTTAATTCAAATGTTGTATCACATACTCTTTCAAATGCAGCTGTGGCTAGTGGTTACTTAATCATAGGCAGCGCCAGGGGTGGGCTTATGGGGCTTAAGTCTTGAATGTTTTCTGCAAAGCCCTGAATCTTTAGTGTACATTGTGTATGGCATTTTTTGCAGTAAACCCCGATCATAACTCCATAAGAACCAATGTGTTTTTAAAGGAATTGTTGTAGTTGTAAAAGTTTTAAAAAGTGTTCACTGAAATTGAGAACTTCACCATAGTATAACAGTTGGCAGCGACATGTATGTGCGTTGTTTCTTCATGAACGTGTAGACAGATTGTAATATATAAACACAATGTAAGAAAGAATTCTAAACCCCGGATATGCACTAACCCTAGAAAGGCCCTTTTGCCTTATCAGCAGAAAGAGGATCCTCTGCCTAAATGGCAATATAAGCACATTAGTAGAAATTGATCTTTTTAAGATTTACCCACATGCGCTATGCGTATTGGCTTTTTTTAACCAGAGATGTAAACGGCAAAGAGGAACATGGACATAGTATGTTCACTGCAGCTATTCTAATGCACTTTTATGGCATAGCTGAATTGATTTTTTTCTAATTTGTTTTTAGCACTGGAAAGATGGTTCTCAGCCTCATGAAGCTCTTCTGATTGTCATTTGACTACTGATACTACTTGACTACTGGTTTACTTTTTACTTGGAAGTGTCATTAGTATCATTAGAGACTATGTCTGTATTTTTGTGTTAAACCTTTTTAGGTATATGTTTTAGGATGTAAATCTGAGAATTATACACAGTATTTTGGGCAAACCCTACACTTTCGAATAAAATGTCTTTTGTCCTCACTTTAAGGAAGGTTGTCATTGGTCAAGTGGGCTTGAACTAGAGCAGTGTCCAAAATCGTTCACTTGTATATTTTATAGTGGACAGTATACTGGGTCAGATCAGTAAAACAATATTCGGACACTACTTTGGTCAGTCCTTTAGTCCTTCAGTCTTGTTTCAGTCTGCGAAGTGCATAATGGTAGTTGCTGCTTTAGTCAGCAGTTAGTTTCCACTACTTTATTACATTACATTGTGGGATACATTTAATATAATAATAATTCTCACCAGACACCAGGTAACACAAGACAAACACATGGTGCAGTGGACGATTTTAGATAAAGTTCTTGTCTTCGTTACAGAGCACACGTTACATTTAATGCCAATCAGCCATACTCGCTGCTGTACCACAGAATGACCCAACCAGTGTGACTGCTGTACCACCTGTACTTGTAGGATGACAGCTTTTGTCTGGAACCAGTATCCCCTTCTGAACCTTTGTATTTTTCTTTTGGGAAGCACATGCAAACCATACATGTGTTGATTATTGGGAATTTCACTCAGCTGCTACTCTGTCTGTTGCACTGCAGCACCTGGCTTCTACTACACCACCATGCTACCTTTCCAGTCTGCCTATTCTCAAGGTATCATGTTGACTCATTGTATTCTGATCATATTATATTGATTTATTGCTCATTTGCTACGTGGCCCCAAACACGGTCCATTGTTCGTGTCGGTTACCTGTCATCTACCCGCCAAATACAGTGTTGATTGTACAGTATTAAATCACCTACTGTAAGCCGCATGTCACCAAACAAGAATCAGGAGAGAGAGAGAGAGAGCGATCATGTTAGTGGTAGTTCACTGCTGTGTGCAAACTGGTCTGTGTTTGACAGGCTAATCTGGCCCTGTGTGGATCCCATCAGCAGCTGACTGCTAAATTGAGTTAGCTTGTTAAAGCTACCCTGCTTGTCTGAAGTCTGAGACCTGTGGGCCTGTCTGTAAGCCAGCTTTTAACTTTGACTCTCAAACAGCGTCAGCCATTGACTTCTTCATCTTGCCATGTGTGAGATGTGAGGAGAAAAAATTGTTATGC